CTGTATACCACACATTTGAGTAAGTGACACATACTGCCCTCCAGAGCTTCCTATGCAACTGGTACTTTCTGGGTGATTGCCCTCATTCCAGAATCCCCACCTGCCAATCCTCTCTCTCAACTTAGGGCCCTTTCCTCAGCTGTCTGTAAAGAAATAGGCATTACTTAAAAAAAGAGAATGTCACACCAAAGCATGACTAATGAACTACAATTTAATATTTTAACTTATTTGTCCACAGGAATGATTCTATACTGGTGGAATTATAGGAGAAAGGGCAGCTAGGTAAGGAGAGATGTAGTTTGAACAAAACCCCATGAGGCTTTCTTTCATAGGCAAGTACTCTTTAGATGGGGATTTGCAAGGCCGACACTGCAGGTATTACTTCTTTCTAGATCCTCTGTGAGATGGAGGCAACAGTGGGTATATTCCTCTCGGCCTTAAAATCCAAACAGCTAGTCTTCCTGGAGAAACAGTTATCTGAAACTAGGAGAATAATATTCTTTTCCTACCTAGAATGATTGTTCTAGAGTACTGAACATTATTTTTGCAACAGTGCTTTGATCAGTAATTTCTTAAATATAACTTATTGATAAGGCACCATTTAGAACAAAAATAAACAAAACAACAAACCCTTAAATGCTGTCCAGCCTGTCACATTAATCAACAAATTATTCATTGTTGCTTATGTGACCCTGATTCAGTCCCTGAGTGTGCGTTACATTAACTCACTCGAGACACAGGATCTGACTCCTGTGGGCTCTGTCCGGTTCATACAGATTGTACATGGTTGTTTCAGACACACCTTTTCCTTGATGTTAATCAGCTGAAGTCTCTCTGTTTACCCCTTACCAGCCAGAAAGCTGTTTGTCCTTCTAAGTAAGGTTCCTGCTTTTAGTCTTGGGCTCTATATCTGGCAGTATGAATAGGAAGAAAATATAATTATACTCCAGGAGCTTTATGCCATGGAGACAATTGTTTCTCTTTTAGAAAAAGTTCCCCCATCTGTAATTTTGTCTTTTTCCGTATTTGAGTTTTTAGTGTTCTACTCTCTTCCCAACTCCAACTCAAAATAATGAGTTAGAAATTCTAAACTCAGTTTGCTAGAAAACAGCTCTAAAAATGGAATATGATTTTAAAACTGAGAGATAATGTCCTTTGTATCTTTTAAGTCTTTTCATAGGCAATTTACTCTGCCAACTTTAAAATGAGGTTTGTAATTATAACTGAGGTATTGTTAGGTGACTAGAGGGATATGCCAAGTGGTATTAACATGGGAATTCCTTACAGAGTTATGAACCTGAAATGTTGTATTGAAAGGAAGAAATATGGCAAGTTCAACAGAGGGAGGCATGAATTTTGAAGTGTGGGAAATTATACGTGTAAACCTAAGCATGAGGATTAATCAGTCACTTACTGAGGACAGAAAACTGGTTTCCCAGCCTTATCTGGGAGCATGGTAGAAGATGAGGGCTTTGGGGAAAGAACAAATTACCAAAAGATCTTGATGTTATGGCTGCAAAAGTAAAGTTTGAAGAAGTGATTGAAGCCTAGGAATGTTTTTCTATCTTGTTAGTTAAGTCTGTATTTCTCGGACTTTCTAATCATTTCTCCCCATGAATATCGGAAAATTTTCCTGATTTAAATCCTGAACAAATGATTTACTTATACTGCTGATGTTCTAAGTGTGATATAGTGTTAGGCATCCTATAACCTTATTTATGAGAACTCAGTACTACGTAGTCAATACCACAAACCAATTTCCATGCTAAGGAGCCTCTTAGGTAAAAGTGTCAGCCATTTGCATATTGCAAAATAAATTATTATGGCTTCTGGGACTATGCTAGACTGGGTACCCTGAATGACCTTCTTGCTAAAAATAAACGGAAATGTAGAATAAAGTACATTTTTAAATTGTTCTAATGCATTGATAACCTGGAAAGTTAGTAATGAATACTCAAGGATCAAAACCTAAGCAAAGGCAGGAACCCTGAGGGTTAAGCAGAAGGCTGAAGGCAACATTTAGCTTGAGAGCATGTGAAGCTTCAGTCTTTATGCTTTTGAGAGTGGAGTAGACAGATGACAAGCTTAGGTCTGCTCAAGTTGGAGAGCATAAGAAGAAACAAAATTCAGGTATAGTCTGTTTACAGAAATATTCACCTGAAACTAAGAGATACAGAAAAATTCAAAGTAATAGGATACAGAAAGATTTATCAAGCAAATACCAACCAAAAGAAAACTAGTGGCATGTAACTATGTAAATATCTGGAAACTGCACTTTACCATGGAAAGTATTACTAGATATAAGATACTAACAGGTACAGGAAACAGGGGTAAGAAAAAGTAAATTAATACTTCCTTTCAGGAAAATAACCTGGCTATATCTATTAAAACATTAGATTATATAAAACGCTCATGTGCTTCAACTCAGCAAACCCACTTCTTTCATAATCCTTTTCACCTCTCTTCCTAATGATTTGGGGACATGATTTTGATGAGATTAAGGTTTCAGGAAGCAGACAAGATAATCGACAGTTGATTTAAAGTCTATAAATGTAAAATTTGTGAACCGTGACCATTACACATTGAAATGAAATATGGTGACCCTTGGTTTAATGGAATAAGAAAGCTAATAATGAATATAAATGAAGGGGTATTGCAGAATGAAAAGGTGTCTATTTTCAACAACCTTGTGTTTGGGAGATATTCATGTTCAGGTGGAAAACTAGCTTCTGTGACTATTCGGAGGTCCCCTTGTAGTTTGGGATGGAATAAACCCCTCCCCAATTAAAAAAAATAAAAGACCCACAACACAAACAAAACCCCCCCAGAACTTCCCTCAGAAAAATCAGGATGTTTTGTAGTAGCTCCTGGCCAGGTTTACTTCTCAGGAACCTCAAGTAGACCCAATGACACAGCAAGGAATGAAATGCAGACGTATGCACATGAGGTAGGACAAGAAATTCCTGTCATGGTGGTAATGGAGGGCTGATGTGCCCATTCTCATGACACGTAGCCTAAAAAGAGCAATCTGCTGGGTCTGGGCTCTCCTGATCTAAAAGATTTCTTTTCTAAATGGGCTACAGAGACCACAGAATTCTCCCAGGGTCTCTGTGGAGAATGAGGGAGGCATGAAGAATGTCTGCTCACTCCATCATCTGTTTATGATCTCGTATATAAGTTTTTCACAACTTGTTTGTTAATTCGGGGTACAAGAAGGTAAAACTAACTTTAGCCAAGTCTTAGTTGGTTTTGGGGGTCTGGTATCCACCATAAAGATTTTGAAATACCACACTAATAAGTACAATACTTCTCATTTTTAAAAAAATTGTTTATTTGTTAAAACATTGTGACAGTAACGCTCATGTTCATTCTCATCAAATAATGGAATTGCTACTTTTGGTATTCAATTCTTCAGAAGTTGCTAAATCACACGTGTATTTCAATAGGGAACTAAAAGGAAGAGAATTAGAAACTTGGAAATTTATGGTAGGTAAGTTACTATACAAAAGAAAGAACTTTACCTATTTACAGAAATGTTAATGGCACAGTTCTACAGAAACACATACACATTTGCTGCTTAATTTACATATTATCTGGGTGGAAAAAAAGTAGAATTCTTTACTCTTTTGATTTCCTTATGCTAACCTACCTGTAATTCTAGAGCGATATCACTTAGTAAACCTGAGTGATAGAAATGTTAGTAGGACCATGATCCAGTCAAATCTAGAGTTAAAGGTGCTTCAGAGATTCCAAGTAATGATTCGAAAACAAACTTAACAAACCTATTGGATCGTGCCCAGGGTCCATCCAAACTGTATCCTGTCTCTATGGCACCATAGAAAGGTCTCTAGACCTTCAAGATGGCACCCCACAATGGACTAGATAACACCCTCCCCACCCCGCCACCACCCCAACATCCCCAGTTTCCCTTAAGTCTATCATCTGTGTATTGATTCAAATCATTCTAGGACTTACTTATAATTTCATAATGATTCACAGGTGGGATCATGAATTTATTAAATTTACTACCTGTATTTAAAGTGGTGTTTTCTTTACTTATTCCATATTCAAACAATTAAGAGAAGCACCTAGAAAAGCATTTCAGAGATCAAGAGGTTCCCATAGAATATGAAGAAATGCTAAACTGGGTTAAAAAATATGATACATTTAAATAATTACATTAAACCATGAGTTAATCTGAAATATACACAGTAACATTTAATTCTGCAACTTTTAAAATGATTGAATATTATATATAACTTCAAAATTATAAAACATGCAATAGTGTATGGATTAAAGTGGTGTGGTGTCATATTTCTTTCCTGTACCTCTGTTACTGCAGATTTTACTTTATTTGGAAATGACCCCAAACAGGTATCCTGAGGCACCTCATGATTGTGAGGCTCAAGCCAAGAAATCCTCCTGACTTTCTTGATAAACTCTGACATACAGTTTCTAATAATCTGAGATTTGGTGACTAAATTCCTGTTTTCCTAATCCTTATACCTCATAATTTGATTCAGATTTTCCCTGAATGGTAAAAATTAAATGAACTATTCAGGATAAGTTTAAGGAGGGGGAGAGTAAGAAGATGGAAAGTTGCAAATGAAATTTTTTTTTTAATGGATTGGTTGTTTCCTTGGAGGTAAAACTAGTTGGGCAAACTCTAGGATACTAAACAATGTTAAAAAAAAACATCAAAGAAGCAAAATAATGGCATGGTATGAGGCAATGTAGATAGTCTGTGTTGCGCCCAAATTATTATAGTTATATCTGTATATCTATATCTCCACATATCTCCATTGTTCAAGAAGTTTACTTTTTAATAGTCTACTGAACCTGCTCTACCCCCATAGAGCCAATAGCTGACAGAAGGCTGCTGTGCTGGCTGATTTCTTGAGGATTCTTCCTGGTTAGACAAAATAGCTGGAATTTGACTTGAGCTTTGCCGACTGCATGCAAACATAGTCCAAGTCTGATGTGCTCTGTCTATTGACCGTTTAAATATGAACCAGTAGCCAAGTCCTCAGAGGGGAAAGATTCTTCTCTAGCCACTTAATATTTGTGGATATAGCTTCCAGAATAATTTGAAAAATATACAAATGTGATCCTTGGGCATTTAGAGATTCAAAAAATAGTTTCACCTGTAAAATAGGCAAGAAAAGAACTACTGACATGGTTCATAAAAACACTTTCTCCCCTAAAGGTTTTCAAACAGCTTTCAAATTATGCAAACACAGGTGCAAAAATTTCTCTGCCAACTTCTAAAAGGTTATTTTCTTCTTCTCTCTTTTAATGTATTATTTTACTTTATCTTCAAACAATAAAGTAAGACAGAAATGATAAATCCTTATCTTACAAGTGAGCACACTGTGGGTAAAGAAGTTAAGTGACTGAGTCAAGTCATAGAGTAAGAAGTGAGGCATAATTTAAGTTCTAGAATCCAAATCTGCTTAAAAGATAAATAACTTCAGTACTTTTGTGGAAAGAAGATATAAAACACTAGATGCCTAAAAAAGCAAATTAGAATTACCAACAATAGTACATAGTTTTGTTAAAAAGACCTTTAAGTGCTTTTCCAAACTTCAATGTATCACTTGTGTTATGACACAATATGAATGAAATAATACAAAAAGATTCATCTCTCAAGTGTAATTTTCATTTTAAATGCTATGAACACATGTATTTTAAGAGGTTCTAGCCCTGTCCTTTCCATTAGCTTGCTATGTGATATTGGAAAAATAACTTATTTTCTTTTAATAAAATGAGAACTTCAAACCAGATCACATTTATTTACTTTTAATTCTACAACTTCAACATTTATTTTTAAATTGTTAGCAATAGAGAGTCACAAACCTCTTTCAACTCATCCTCAGAAGAAAAGTGAGCCGTTGTTCCAGAGATAATCATTCTCATGGCAAATGAGCCCAAGTCAAATCTGAAAATTGAAAATAAGAAGGAACCTCATAGATTTAATAGAAATTCTGGCCTCATGCTTATTATATGATATATTTTAAAAATACATAACAATAATGGTATGACAAGCTTGTGCATTAAAATAGATACTATTAATTATCATAAGAATAACATATTCACCCAGTAAAATTCCAAAGCTATGAATTTTATCAAATTTGACTGTAAGACAAAAAAATAAAAGCTTTTTTTAGGAAATAAGACTAGCTTATTCAGCAATGGTCATGTTTAAAGCAGTATTTTCTACAGTTTTTTTTGTTATGTACTCTATCAGTAAAGAGTTTTTGACCAACAACTTCCCAATATACATATTTTTATTCATGAGTTATATATGTGTACTACATTTGGGATAAAAAAGAAAAATTTAATAGCATCAGATACGAGATAATAAATATGGTGATATTTTCTTCTGCACTCTAATGTATGTGGTTCACACTTCTTCACCCCATTTTGGACACCACTGTGTTTAAACATATTTATTGTGGCAGTGTCAGTTGGCTGAGCCCTCATTTGCAGCCACAGACTGCATCCTTCACCCCCAAGGTCTTATATAGAGAATTTGTACACTAGGTCAAGGGGATGCTTGCTGAAAAGCAGAGCACAGATACATCTCAGAAATGGTTCCAAATCTAGGCTCTGCACATGGTTGGGCAAGAGTAAAATTTTCAGTTACAAAGAGAATCTACAGCATTGCAGAAAAAGTCATTTCAGGAGGGAACTGACTATTGTGCAAACAACCAAACCAATGTTTCTAGTGGATCTTTGAGGAAACACAGTTTTTTTTTGTAAGGAAGTTTCTAACTTGGATCTCATGTGGATGTCAACCCCTTGAAGGTCTAGGAGAAGGATGGAAATGTGCTTTTTACTTATACAAAGCTGTCTGTGAGACTCTAAGCCCTTTATGGCTAAGAAATGAGAAGGAAGAGGAACTGAGATGACTGGCATCAGAGATGCTAATTGACACTAAGATAAACAGAGCAAATTGCTCTGATTCAGGATATTTTCCATAGTTTATAGGTGACATTTTGGGTTTGGATGAAGGATGACTGAGCACCTTAGTGGAGGTTTTGTTGTGAGAGAAACTACTGGCTCTTCCTGGGGATATTTTAGGCCCAGGAACATACTAGAGTGATCTCTGGTTCTCCCAAAACTTGAAAGCCCAGGAAAGACCCAGGGCCAATCTACCTTGGGAGCTGGGCGGGGGAGCTCCTGAAAAAATTCTGACCAAATTTCTTTCAGCTTCTTTAATCTCTCCACTGTGCAACCGCCACAGGGGAACTTGGGGTGGGGTTAATTCTTATCAAAATTCCTGAAGTCTTCCCCATAGAACAAAACTGCATTAACAAAGCAAGCCAAGTATGTTTAATGCACTTATATATGGCTTCCTTGGATTCTCTTGGACTGGTAAGAGAGCCAGGAGTTGTGGGGTGGGTGAGGCTGAGGACCAGGTCAACTCATATTTGTTCCTAGCAATTCTTTGCCTAGGCAAAATCAGAGAAATCACTTTTCTGTTCACTTCTCATTCTTCTCCCTTGCACCTGGACAGGGTATTTTGTGCTTATTTTAGTTTTAAAACCAATAAGCTTCATTTGGGTAAAAATGGTGTCATTCTCATGCTTCAGGGGACACTTGATTACACCTGGTTTTAGTCGACTCAGACATCTGAGTATAAGAACACATTAAATGTAAATGAATACCAACTTTTTGAGGAGAGTGGTCCAATTTTCTCTTAGGAAATTCCAGGCTAATTGCTGCCCTTTTGGATTTCTGGCAATCGCATGAAGAAGAGCAGACAAGTCCTGCATCTTAATGGCCTTTCCTTCCATTCCTAGTTCAATTAATCTGAAAAAATAAAAGCCACTTGATTTTTTATGGTATGTTATATAATGGAAATTAACTCAGGCTACCAATTTATTAAAAGGATAGGAGAAAAAGAGGCATGGTAAAGGTATAATTTACCACAAATGGTCATAAATTCTCTATTGGCTAACATTTTTAATGCTCCAAATAAACTTTTACTTTTTTATAGCAGTAATTTTATTCACTTATTATTTCAAGAACTTTGATTAGCATCTTATATACCATCTTATATTTTTGCAATAACTTATAAACATTTGTCTCATATCAATCACATAATGAATAACTAGGGAATATCTGTTTTCACTATTTGCATTTTGTCAATATATACATATATTTTTAGAAGTAAACTCAAAGACATTTAAAGCATGATACGATTATTTTACGCCTTTGAAACTGGTGACTGAAATTTTAGTGACCTCACTGAATTTGTGTCAGTTTACTTTTAACAACTTAGTTAAATGAATACACTTACTTCATTAACTTTTCCTGATGTTTGCTGGTTGACAATGCATACAGAATTTTGTTTTTTTCAGCACCTGACATTGACAGTCTGTATTGCTCTAAAAGGTAATTCCATCCTACTGTTGTCTGAGCACCCACGGAATACACAATCTTTAAAACGTCTGTTGAAATGCTGTAATATGAAGTACAAAAGTGAAGAAAAAGTTCTGTGAAAGAAAAATGTTTTTTCCTAGTACAATTTTAAATTGCTACAACAGACTCATCCCTGAGTTATTTCCAGTACTTAGTACATTAAACCTTTTTTTTCTGCTAAATTTTTATTAAAATATCTTAGGTAATTTTACCTTGCAAATTACTTGTAGTTTTTCCTTAATGATGATAACATGTTAGCAAGGAGAATAATCGTAACATTTTAACCTATCATAGATGAAAACAGAAAGTTGATGGAATCAATACATGAAAGATATTCTAAAACATAAAAGCACTTCTTTATACAGAATTCTATCACTAAATAACAAGTATTGGTGCTGTATGATTTTTTTGTAAAAGAATACTATGTGCTGCTTTAATGTCATATTAAGAGTATTTTCTAACTGGCCTATCTGAAGATCATCTGACTCTTTAGGTCTAGAAAATTGTAATTTAGTACAATTGATTAGGATTCAGTCATTTTATAATTTTGCAAAATTGGTAATATATAATAATATTATTTTAAATATAATATTATACATATAATATAATAAAGATATAATAATATTTTCTCTCCACCTAAACAAGACACCATGATTTTTAGATTTCATTGCCCTATAGTATATTAACTAGTTTTGATTCTAATCTGTTCTATGATTTTTAATCCAAAATATCATTAGATCAATAATAACTGATAGTCATACTGATGGCTTAGAAAAATCACAACACAGAGGAGTGGGCATGGGGCAGAAAAATCTGCATTTATCATGCAGTGTCCACATGGTAGGGATTGTATTCTACTCTGTACCTTTCATCAACTGTCAAAGCTACCCAGTGAGATAGTTATCTCAGCTTCTTAATGGTGGAAATAACACTCAGGAAAATGAAGTAATTTGCACAAGGTGGTATAACTGACCACTTTGGGGATGGGATTTAAACCTCTGACTTTAATGTCTGTGCTATTTCCACTGTGTTATATGTACTTAAATACCTCAAGTGCCATTTGAATCAGAAAACAAGGATTGGGCAATTAAATTATAATCCACATTGTTTTGATTTTAGTGTGTTTACCTGTGCACATTGATGAAAATTTGTAACAAATACATCGAAAGTTCCTTGAAGGTAGGACACATAGTTATTTTGTTCCTTACTTTACCCTTAGCACCTACAAGCAGTGCCTGACACACAGGCACCATGACAACCAAGTGTTATGTTTTGAATTTATGAATGAATGAAATAATCAATTAATCTATGAAAGGAAATTTTTCATTAGGATTAATACTAGCAGTCTTGAAGTTAAGGGAAAAAATACTCTACAATATTTAATTATTATTGATTATAAGCATAAATGAGCTGTACCCAGAATATTTTCATAGACATAATATCCTTTTCAACATGCTGAACCATCACATCTACTATAAATGGGTTACTGCAGGTAAGATCATCCTTCTTGTAATGAATATAAACATGGAAGAATATTCTGTTGTATTACAGGGCAGCAAGCTGTTTTTTACATTCTGGCCTCACTCATACAACCCAAACATGAAAATAAAAAAAGAATAATACTGTGGAAAGATATTTTTTCTAAAACTCATGATTGTCTTAAATCTCAATGATCAGAAAAGTATGAAAGGAAGCGAAGTGGAATTACTTTCTTTTTAAAGAAGAGTTAAAGAAAGGATTTCAAAAAGCTCACTGAGATTAGTGATGTGGAGAGAAATTACAATAGCCTACCATAGCAGTCTGGCACAGGAAAAAGTGACCCTATACATTACATGGTACTAATGGTGTGAAATTTTTTCTTCTATTTTAGAAAATAAATTTTCCTTAATTCACATATAAATTTGATTTCTCAAAACATCCAACTCTAGAGTCAGAATTCAGCAGTAATAATATAAAATTATGTGTTGGACAGAAATCCAGGCTTACATTGAAAAGATTGTAGGGTCTGTTAGTATCTATGAGTTATAGCTATTAAACTGAACTCAACATAATCCATTTAATTTCTGAGTGCCTCTTCCTGACTATAATAACCACCAGAATAAATTTTGTCACCATGTATCCTATGGATGGCCCAAATCATCAGTTTCCCATCAAAGATGAAATTGGGGGCCAAGGCTTTGTCTGTGGAAGTAAGGAATGTAAATGAGCAAGTAAACACATTTCTTAAAAGGCACCCTCCACTTTTTTTTTAGAAGTTTAATCAAATGATCACTGGTTCTTTAACTGCATGTGTATTTCACATTGCTTTTTGTCTTTAAAAGGCCTCACTTTTGGGGATTGGGCATTCCCCTTCTTCTACCCCCTGGCTAGCTTTCTACTACCATACCAGCATTTATTAGCTCTCCCCTGAAGGGACCTAAACCTTCCTTCCCACAAAAATCTCCTAAGCACTTATTACGTGGAAACATGAAACAAAGGCATGTAATTCCCAATACGGCTTTTTTTTTTTTACCTATCCTCACTAAAAAGTTTTAGATCTAATGTCTTGCTTGATCAAAGACTTTTACATCAAAGTGAAAGAAACAAAGAATAAGACAGAAATCTTGTTCTACTTTAATTTTCCACTGGATTCCATCCACTGCGAAAGGAGTTCAGTTGCCTTCTGGATGCAAGGATCATAGTTCAGGTAACAGGCCAGCTTTAAGACTTCCGTGCGAAGTACCCTGTCCCAGACTGAGCCCTTGTCGCTCCAGCTTTGCATGTCAATCACTGACTTAAAATGCTGCAGAAAGCACAGGATGGTTTACAGAAAGGCTAAATTTAGTTCTTAACACAGCTCTTACCCATAGAAAGGGCTCAGCTCTAAATGGTCTGCATGAACCTTTTCCCAAACACAGAACGACTTAAATGTGTATTTCTTTTTCTGGCCCCCACCCACCGCACTCAAGAGTTTTTGCATTAAAAATCCATTGTAATTTCCTATCTCAGAGAGGTGTATCAATTGATAAAAGGTAGAATCACCTTTAGGAGGGAGGTTTTGCTCATGCCCAAGCTCTCAGGCTGGTGATGACAAGGAACAAGGGACATCCAACCATTAGATGCTGTGGTGTGGACTGTGCTGTCAGCCTCTTGAAGGTTTATCCCTAAGAGTTCACACAAAACAGACAAAATCTCACTGATCCTCTAGACACTGTGTATTTACTTAAGGAATTTTCTGAAGGTAACAAACCTTGAGGTTTTCAGTGACATCTGAAATATTCCTTCTGTCCATCATGTGGTAAAACAATTCTAAGTACCCCAAATCTTTGAGAAGTGTAGGGGTGCTTGTTTCACATGGGAGATAGTGAGTCAGGTCAAGGGCTTTGTCTAGGTTCAACCTGCCTGCACTGAGATATAAAACAAATGTCAGTGGTTTGTTCACATATCTTACAGTTCTTAATATTCAAACAAATGTGATGTGGAGAGCAATAACAGGAGCTGTTCATTATAGCCCGACCATTTAGTTTAAATCCTTGCTCTGCCACTGCTTAGCTGTGTGATATGGGCAAATTACCTAGCCTCTCTGGGCTTCAGTGGCCCTCCTCCCTCTACAAATGGGGATAATAATAGTATCTTCTACATTTGTAAGGACTAAATGAGTTAATATATGTAGAGCACTTTGAATAATGTTTAGCACACAGTAAGAGCTTTCTAAATGAAATGTTAGCTAACATTAATATTTAGTACCAAATAATATCAGTTTTTATGTATCATGTCATTCTCTAATTGTTTAACTTGTGCATTTGAATTGTTCCTCTAAGTGAATTTGGAACTTAAGGATAGGTGCCTTGTCTTTTCTCTTTTTGATATCCCTCCTAGAGACTAACAGAGAAATAGCAATTTATTCTGAATAGGGCAAATCAAGTATTTCATTTTTTGAAAGAATCTATTTAGTTTCTAAAATTATATGCCTTCTCTATACTTTTTTTTTTTAATGAGAAGAACAAGCAATAAAACAATTATTCTGAATATCAGAATGTTAGGGTCCCTTCTGTAGAGGAAATAAACCATTATATTGTCATTTTTGTAAAGTGTTCTCACATGTGTTTCTGAGAGGACCTGTGTCCCCGTAGGGTATAGAAGCCATTCCTGCCAGCATCTAACTCCCAGATTAAGCATAATAGATTGATATAGAAACAGATTCCAGAACAAAGGATGTCTCTGTTGAATTTTTTATTAACATAATGCTTTACCTCCTTTGGGTTTTAAAGCTTTAAAATTCTTTTCTAAGAGGAGGAAACTGAAACCAGAAAGAAATGAAGTGAAAAAGAAACAACTTTTGTTGTGACTTTTTCAATCACAATGACATGCTGCTTTAAAAGAGACTTAAGGAAAATTTTCTGAACATTTCATCTAAAGACAGAGAGTGCTGAACCATATGCTCTCTGATTCTATGGTTTGCTGTATTTTTTAAAACACAAATCCACAAAATATCACTATTCCTTCCCACATGTGTAGTCTCATAAGCAGTGCAAATTGAAAGGAAAGGAGCAACACACAGCAGCAATTCAATGGAGAATTCCGCTTTATTAGGGAAAGGTGCTGGGTTATATAGGAAGGGGCATAGGGTGATTGTGGTGTTACTTCTACGGGGCTGGTGGCTATTGGCTAGGTGCTGGGACTGGGAGGGGGGCGAGAGGTGATTGGGCTTAAGGTGGTGCCGTCGGGACCCGAGGACCCAGAAGAGAAGCTGGAAGTTCGCCATCTTACTGGTGAGGGCCCTTCATTTCCCCCTTTCTCCTCTATGGGGTTGTGATGTTGCTTTCTCTCTGACTGCTTCCTGCTGAACGGGGGCAGAGAAGGGAGTGAGGGCTTGAGGATTGGGAGGAAAGGGTTGATAGGACTCCCCGCAGTAAGGACGAGTAGATGTGGACTTCTTCAGGTTGGAAATCAATGAAGGTTCCCTGTAACCATAGGTCGAGGACTTGTTGATTCTAATGGTGCCAAGAGGACACGGGTGCCAGGAGCCAGGTGTCTGCGGCCATTGTTTCTAGGAACAGTTTCCAGCAGAGAGAGGGGTCCATCTCAGCGTGTGGTGAGGAGGTTACGTGAGGGTGAGGGATCTTCTGTGGCCAGAAGCTGATAGTTCCTGAGTAAAAGCTGGTTGAAAGTTTGATTAGAGATTTTTCCGACTTGGGATTTGATGAACTTTATTATACAGGGTAAGAAGAGACAGACGAGAAGAATGACTATTATGGGGCCTGCAATGGGCCAGAGCCAGGTGAGGAGGGGGTTTGTTAGTATTGA